CGCCCAGGACAGCGGTCACCGCCGCCCCCGCGGGGCGGCCCTGGGCCGGAGCTGGCCCTGCTTCCCGGCCCCTCCAGCGCTGCAGCATGAAGGCGGGGAGGGCGCGCTGAGCGAGGCAGAAGCAGGCACCCTCTACCCCCGGAGAGGCACGAGCAGCGAGCGGCTACGCGTTTCCCGCAGCAGCCTTTTCTTAGTCTCCAGAACAATTAAGCCAGCAAAGATTCTGGCAGTGAAGCCATCAGGCCCAAAAGTGGGCTAGGAGGCTGAGTTTTTCTCTCTGTTTGTGAAAACATGTTCACAAATGTATGCAAGACTAACTGGAAAATAATCAATTATTGAAAAAAGAAGTTGCAGATGAGTAGCTGATAAATTATTTAGCTTGAGAGCAAAACAACAAAGTCTGCAGTAGCAATTTGGTCAAGTTCCTTCTGCAGTGTTTATGGGTTTTTTCGGTCTTTGCAAGATTGATTTATAAACCACTTAAGGTTCTTGCTTTTAGTCAGCTTCAACCTTTCAGCAGATGGTTGGATTACCGTCCGGTGTAGGGAGTATTTTAAAACAGCTGTTGCCATGAATATTAAACGTGAATTGTTGAAATGGGTCATTGTTCCTCGAATGCTACAGGGAAGCACTATATGTAAACACAAATTTCCACCTTTTTCTTTAAGAAAAAAAAGACACGTGGAAAGACAGGTTTCTGAAAGGAGCAAACAGCATTTCTTGAAGCAGCACACAGCGTGGGGGGGCTCTGTGCTGCCGTTCAGAGCGCCCGTGACCCTCTCGGAGCAGGCAAACCAGGGTGTTCAGCAGCTAAAGCCAACTCCGCTCAAACGTTTCATGCATTGTATGTTCAGTCCAAACCTGTTAAGAGTGAAATACCTGCCTGCATAGCAAAGACAGCTTTCCTGAGAGGCTTTAAACTCAGTTATTAGCGTTTCGTGATTCTGTTAACACCTTTGTCTAAACTTCTCAGAGCAATCACCCCAGAGGTTCCCGGTCGGTTTAACCTGCCACCAAGCAACAGTGCCAGTGAAAGGAGGAGGTCTGGCTCCTTTCCGTCCCGTTCCACCCGTCCTGCTGCGCTAGAGCAAGCAGGCGAGAAGGGAAGGGCTGAGGCTGGAACTGATCATGCCGAGGCGGTCGGAGGGCTGCGTGCAGCATAAGTGTCCATCCCGCCTCCCCGGGCCTGCTCCCGCCTGCAGCCGCAGCGTGCCAGCTCGGGAATGGCTGCGGAGAGTGGTGGGCGGGCGCGACGACCGGAGCGCCCAGGAGCGGGAGGCAGTGCCAGGGCTGACTTTGGCCGTGCTGTGGCTGGGGGGCTCCGGCACGCGCTCAGCGCATGGAGCGTATCTGTACACAAAGCACAAGCCTAGTTAAACTGTTATCAGTCCCAGCTGTAACTTTGCCGTTTGCTTGCCAGCTGGTTTGAAAAGGATAAGCTGGGTAGGCTGTTTAAAGAGAAAGTGCACATTCTTAAAACTTCTCTCAAAGACCTTAAGGCCCATCATTGATTCTGGTGGTGGTGGTGTTTTTTTCACTAACTACATTCTGCAGCACAAACACAAGCTATCCTTACAGGATGGCAAGTGTTAATATTTGATGAACGAGAGGGAGAACTGAGGTAAGCTCCATTTCAGTTATTTATGGGTGAAAGTATCTTGGATGCCAGGTACCTCTGTAAATATGTACATGTTCTCTCAAGTTTTCTGTGCTAACAACCTGGTATAGACCTGCACACAGTAGCTAGAGTGCAAGGGAAAATGGCCAAAAAATGACTTTTTCCGTCATTAATATTTCCTTTACCTACAGTTAAGCACAGCACAGCGTTTAGGGAGAAAGCTAGTTGCTCCCACTTTGGCCATAGTTTAAACCTTTTTCCTCACATTTCTATGAATAGGCTGCTCACTACTATCACTCCCAATGTTATGATCGATTCCCTTAAGAGTTTATGTGCCAAAATCCTGTTGCTGCCATTTTAATTTTTCAGTAGGTAAATGCTCAGGTTGTATAAATTGGTGGTCTGAAGGAAGATTTTTCCTGGTGTTGATGGGGCTGTACGTGTTGCTTGCTCAACTTTCCTCTGATTATGCCAATGTGTTTTGCTATTTAGGGTGGACAAAATAAGCTGACAGAAAGTGAAACCTGCTTTAGACTTAAAAAATGGAGAAGTACAATTGTGAAAATATTAATGTCAAGCTTCTTTTTTACATAATGACAGAGCTTGAGGGTTTCTCGACATGGTAGCTGGGAGACAGAGTTACTTTCCTGCACAGTAAAGTCATCGCAGGTGGTTTCTTGACACGAGTTGATTTTATTGTACTGCAGCTTCCTCAGTTTCCTCCACATCACTGCTCATGTGACAGGGAAGGGTCGGAGCTTGCTTAGCCTTGCCCTGGGATGGGTTTCACAGTTAGAATTCACTGGTATTACCACAATTGCAACAGGGTTTTCAGTGTTAGGATCCCCTCAGGCTGTGGCAGCATTCAGCCCTAATATAGCACTGACTTTTTAAGTCAAGAAATCAGTAATGCTGCCTAATAGTGTGATCTAACGGGATCTTGGAAAACCAAGGGGCTGTCCTACATAAAGGCCCCATGGCTGGTTGGGAGGTACATATTTAGTTCAGCCGTATTCCAGCAATCAGGTCATTCCTGATTGTCTCCCTAACTGCGGACCAAGGTCTTCTAACCATTTTTTTCCATGTCTCCCCTCACCATTTCTGGATACAAGAAGCCTGAGCTTGCTATAAGTGTATAACAGCTTCCATCAGACTCCAGCAACCACAGGCAGCTGTGCCTGCTTCTTCCAAAGCAAAGAGACTCTCCTGGGTGTTAGGGCAGAGAAACGCTGCATTAAAGTGCCAGGAGACAGTAGGTAGTCATTGTCTTCACATGATTTAATACTGATTTGCAGGGCATAAGTAAAAAGAAAAAATAGGTCCTGAGAGAAGCCTTTTAGGACTCTGAGGAAGGCAAAGGCCTTATTTCCCTTCTTCATGCAGCTGTCCCTTCCTTTACACAAGTGCATAAGCCAGGATCCTTATTCAAGGATAAGGATCAGGTATATGATAATGTTCCAAGGTATCTCCAAGCTCTCGGGAAAGAGGCCATGGAACATCCCTCTGAGTCCTGCAAAACTCCATGGGGGATGCAACTCAGTGAAAGTGTCTCAGGCTCTATTTGTCCCTCTGTGGCTCAGTGCAACACAGCACAGTGCAGGGCAGGGCACGTGACCTGCGCACCAATGGAAAGTTAACCCTGCTCAGCATATGTCTGAGTGCACAACCAAAGAGGCAGGCAGGGCCAGTGGGTTATGCCATCAGTACACTGCAGTACTCTGAAAAATGGAAAGTCATCAGCTTAATCAATTCTACAGTCAATACAGAGGGTTATCCAGCACTCATCCAGCTGGTGGAAAGGACATGTCTGCCAGCCACCTCTTGATCTGTGTTTATTCAAAAGGCACATCCTTTCTTCTCATTCGATATGGGAAGTCCACTTGGAATTGATAGATTTAAAGTAACAAGACCAAAAAATGCTTCAGTGGTGATTCTAAGGGCAGTAATCAAGGTCCGGTTCAGTAGCCAATTCTGAGACAAGGCCTAGAGAGCAGAGGTGGCCGTTTTTGTGAATGGCTGAATGCAGACTCACACAAGCTTTGGTTAGACATTTGTAACTGGGATTCTTTTGCAGTTTGTCTAATCAGTGATGCACCAGCCAGGTGCATATCTGTAAAGTGTGGGTGGAGACCTCAAGCAGAGAAACCCCAGCCAGAGATAACATAGACACCACAAAACATGGACGCCACCTAGATATTTGGCATAGCTTGTGAAAACAGAAAGTGATAAGGCACAAAGTCATAACCTAGGGACGAGACGAGAGCACCGCTCCTAGAATTCTGGACAACAACTGCTGCACCATAAAGACCTCAAGTAAAGTGACACCCTAGGGAACGGAGGAGGTTGGGGGGGCTTTGCTCCTCGCAGTATTGTTGGCAAGAAACAGTGCCAGCTTGGCCCTTCTCATTCACCTTTTCCACGACCCGGGTGCTGACCAGGAGAAGCCAGCCAGGATTCTGAAGAGAGTTTGCTTTAACTGAAGAGCAGAAATGAAAGTGAGATTCAGGAGACCTACATTTTTCTGGTTTTAGATCTCATACGTGACCTTGGACAAACCGAATACTCTGTGTCTCAGTTTCCCCACGTGTAAAACAGAGATAGTACACCTTTTCTTCCCTCATTGTGTCTTTTTTTGTGCATTTAGATCTTATACCTTTCAGGGCAGCAGCTCCCCCACCTGTGTACAGCACCTAACACGACTTGGAGCTGTAACAAATGCAAGTATAAAACCTCCTGGAATGTGAATATCCCTGCCACACGTATGTCTCAAAAGGAAATACTTTGTAGTTCACAAAATACCAAGTAAGATTACATTATTCTCTTTCCTTGGTTTTAACGTGCAAAACAGAGTGAGTATTCAAAAACTCAGCATGCCTTCTGGAAACAAAATGTAAACACTAAAGCCGTTAGGCCTTTTGTTTCTTTGGTCAAAGACTTTACCGTATAGGAAAGGGAAGAGATGCTTTTCGGCTCCACACAGTTAATTGCCACAGAATCAAGGGCAAAGACACACTTCCAAGGCAGGTGCTGTAACCGTGCCTCACCTCCTACAAGCGCACGGTGAGGGAAACGTGCGCCGGGGGCCACACAGAGCTGCTTGTAAACAGCCTCCTATGTGTCCTTGGTCACTTAGCAGAAGATTAAAAACCACCAGTTGGATACCATAG